AGATGGTAGTTCCAGAATTGAGAGTAATTCTATATGGAAAGCAGGTGCTTTGAGTCCAGAAGAAGTTAAAATCGTTATGGAAGGGGCACCTGGGTGGCTCAGTCAATTAAGCGGCTGCCTCTTGATTTCTGCTCAGGTCATGATCTCATGGCATGAGATAGAGCCCCATGTCAGGTTCTGCGCTGGACATGGAACCTGCTTAAGATTCTTTCTCCTTCTCAAAACAAAACAAAACAAAGCTTCCTTATGGAAGAACATAATACACTTTGGTCCAATGAGCTGCATTATACACTCTGTTCTTACCTGTGATAGAAGAACTAGATACAAATAAAAGCCTTACTATTTGGGTAATACTGATCCTAGGCTATTCCCAATCAACTTGCAATTCATCTAACAAGTGGGCCATAAATAACTGGATGGTAAAAGATCTTCACACGTGGGGCCAGTGCTCTTTGGAAATCTCTATGGAAAGTCTGAGGCTAAGTCAAAGCAGGCCATAATGATGCTTACCAAAGAAATCTGATGCCACAGTTTGAAGGTAAATGAAATCAACAAGTTGATGGCCTAATTCATTCTCTTGAAATGGCAGTGAAGGTCCATGAAGTGAATGGACATGGAAGAACTCAAGCCAGGCAGCAATGTACTAAACAAAGACATAGACCACTGGCCCCCCACTGAAACTCAAATCGTTAATAAAAATTGCTTTGGTTGCCAATAGTTTAGTCCCATTTTTCTGCATTTATCCAATCTTTCCCTCTATTATTGGACTGGACTAACCAGAAAATTCTCCTTCGGTGGTAAAGATGTGGGTTAAAATTAATGACAAATGGAAGAAAGGCCGGATTGTCACTGAGGGGAAGGGAGCCAAAAAATGAGTGCCACAAAAGGAAAATCTAACATAATTTTGGTGCCTAAGGAGATGCTTAAAGCAAGGAAATAATATTTTCTCTTAGCTTTGACCCAGAAGCCCCTGGGGGCAAAGGACTCTGATGAAGTCTCCCTTCTGAAGAGCCGAAAAGAGAGCTAACCTAACAAATATACTTCCTAGAGTGACATATTTCTTCAAATTACATGAAAAAATGGAAGCTCTGTCTAGGACTATATGCAACAATGCAAATGTATTTGATTCTCATTCCACAGGATGGATCTATTACAGAGGAGGTATGCAGGGAAGCAACTTGTGGAAAATATTTAGCTAGTTGAGTTTGAAATACATTAATAATTTAAATGAACATTATGTAGCCATTAATCATGATGATGATTTAAAAAAGGTACCAGAATATAGTCATAGAATGTTATCTACTGCATATCCCACCTGTCAAAATAATATGTGTAAAAATAGCTCTTTGCCCTGTTATTGTGGGTGAATAGGCAAGAGGCCAAAGTCTACTTAGGAGTGACTACTACTCATACGATCTAAGCCTGGGTGAATTAACATTTTCGAGGTACCAAAGGTATTTCTTAATTGTATAAAAGAAGTCAGTACTCAATGACAACATATCTGGGGTTGACCCATTTGAAATAAGAGGGCCTTCGTGGAATTAAGAGCTGCTAAAAAGTATTTGGTCAGGTAGACTTGTTTTTAATGAAGAAAGACATACTGCTGAAAAAGACCTACTAAGGTCTAAGGAGTAAGGACAAAAGTGGCAGGCCACTTGAAAAGATAACATGATGCTGACAAAATGGGATTTTATAATTAGATCATACACTAAAACAATACGCCCAAATCAACTCAGCAAAGGGAACAAGCTCGTATGTTAACACAAGCTGGGTTATTAGATATCTTAATTCTTTTTTTTTTTTTTAATGTTTGTTTATTTTTGACAGAGACAGAGACAGAGCCTAAGTCGGGAAGGGGCAGAGAGAGAGGGAGACACAGAATCTGAAGCAGCTCCAGGCTCTGAGCTGTCAGCCACAGAGACCGACGTGGGGCTTGAACCCATGAACCATGAGATCATGACCTGAGCTGAAGTTGGGTACTTAACCAACTGACCCACCCAGGAGCCCCTAGATAGCTTAATTCAAATGGAATCCAAGTTATCCCAAGTACAGTGGCTAGGTATTCTCACAGCAGAAACCCAGGCGATGCATAAACATGGGCCACTTATGGGCCCTACAGTCTACAGAAAGTTTTGTTTTCTATTCTAAGTTTTAATTAGAGGATGCAAACTAGTCAGGTGCTCTTTAACAGCTTTAGCCCTTTCACTGAATGCTAAGTACCCTTCCCCTATAATGCAGTTTGTGAGCCCTAAACAAATTTTATTTTAAGTTTTTTTTAATTTTTAAGTAATCTTTACACCCAACATGAGTTTTGAACTCAGGAGACTGAGACCAAGAGTCACATGCTCTAAAGACGGAACCAGTCAGGCACTCCAATACTGGATAACTGTAAACAGGACTAGAGTGCTTCCTGTGGTAGATTAATAGATTCTGCTGCTGGCTTCTTCTAACTGGGAACCAATTAGAAACCTGAGAAACCATGTAACCTGAGAGAAGGAATTTAGCTATGTTCTTAAGATAGCTTCGAATCCTGAAAAAACAGAGATATGGCCTCTGATATAAATTCCCATGAGAAATAATATATGGCATATAAGAAAAGATAGTGTTGGGGAGGACAAATTAATTACACCATTATTTTCTAATTTCTAGTATTACTACAATAGTACTGCTATATGGTATAATATGGAGGCATAAGTAATATTGTAGATACTAATAAATTTAGGATAATACTGATATTAATGATAAAATATAGTGGGAGAATGAATTAAAGCTATCTCAGGGCATTATCCCTATGGAGAAGAAATGGTCTGAGTAATATTCAGAGTTGATTAATGATAGATTAATAATTCAGCAGATGTATACCATTAAGAAGCAGATACTTACAGGGGCACCTGGGTGGCTCAGTCAGATAAGTATCTGGCTTCCGCTCAGGTCATGATCTCACAGTTCGTGGGTTCAAACCCCATGTTGGGCTCTGTGCTGATAGCTCAGAACCTGGAGACCGCTTTGGATTCTTTGTCTCCCTCTCTCTCTGTGCCCCTCCCCGCCTTATGCTCTGTCTCTCAAAAATAAATATTAAAAAAAAAAATAATAAAGAAAACACCAGTCACTTATAGATTCAAAGAGCAAAAGAACTGTATAGTTAGAAAAACATGGAAAAGTATAAATGGATGGTTCAACTATCTGTTTAAATCCATACCAATTTCACACTAGATACTGTAAATGTTTAGATTCTGTGTATGTATTTTGATGATCTATCTGATTATATGACATTGTAAGAAAAGTAAATATCACACTAAGAACTATTGTTTAATTAGAAAAAAGAGTTGATAATGGGTCATGGGCATGGACTGCCCTGTGAGGGTTAATTCCTGGAATTCGCTTGAGCTGTTTTGCTAAATTCCTGCATGGCACTGACTTTGGTCAAGGCATAGCATGAAGCATACTCATTAAAAGTGTCGTGAAGGATAAAAACATGAAAAGACTTTCAACATCACTAACCATTAGGAAAATACAAATCAAAACCGCAGTCAGATACCTTTTTATACCTCTAAGACGGCTATTAAAAAAAAAAAAAAACGGAAAGCAAGTGTTGGCATGGATATGGAAAAACAAGAACCTTTGTCCACTGATGGTGGGAATGTAAAATGGCACTGGTGCTACTGAAAACCAGTACGGTGGTTGCTCAAAATATTAAACACAGGATTACCATTTGAGCTAGAATTCTACTTCTGGGTACATATCCAAAAGAAATGAAAACAGGGGTTTGAAAAGCAAAATGTGCATAGCAGAATTTTCACAATAGCCTAAAGACAGAAACAACCCAAATGTCCATCAACAGATGAACAGATAAATAAAATGTTGCATATACATAAAATGGCCTATTATTCAGCCTTCAAAAGAAGGTAAATTCTGATATACACCACAGCATGGTTGAATCCTGGAGACATTCTGCTAAGTGAAATAAGTCAAAAACAAAAGAACAACTATTGCTGTGACTCACTTATATGAGGTACCTAAAGTAGTCAAAACTGTAGAGACAGGAACTGAAATGGTAGTCACCCAGGGTTAGAGGGAAGGAGAAATGAATGGGCAGTTATTGTCTAACAAGTATAGAGTTTCAGCAGGGGATCATGAAAAAGTTCTGGAGATATATAGTGGTGGTGTTTGTACAACAATGTGAATGTATTTAACGCCACTGAACTATATACTTAAAAATGGCTAAAAAGGCAAATTTTATGCTATATATATTTCACCACAATTAATGAAAAGTGTTACAAGGAATTTGGGGGTGGTTTGTACCAGTTTCTCAATACTGATAAGAGTGAGATTAATGGTTTGTACTTGGTCTATGAGCTCTGCTGTTATAGAGCAGGAATGTGCCAATATGACCCAAACCCAAAAATCCCTAGCTGAGATCCCATTTTGGGCTCCTTGATTTCCAAGATATTCTGTGTGTACATCTGTGGTTCATTATCCATGAGAGAAAATGCATCCCACCCGGCCCGTATTGAGATAGGACAAGATCCTGCACTTGGCTTCTCTGATCGGATCCTTTCTGTGGGACGGCCATTGATTGTGACAGGTATTCTTACTTTAATGCTGTTGCTGTACTATACCCCTTTCCTATAATAAGTTACAGATTTGTAAGTACTGTCATTCTGGGTCCTGAGTCTTCTTTAGCAATCAAACTGTGTCTAACTGCCACTGTCATTGCAGTTACCATAGGAAAGAGAATGCAATTAATTAATTAAAGTTGTTCCAAGGAGAAACAACTAAGATTATGGGTAAAAGATACAAGAAGGCAGATTTATTTTGCCTTGCAAGGAATTGAGCAAGTCTCTAGACATGTTCACTAAACACTAAAGCAGAAGCAGAAGGTAGATGTTCATCACCTCCTATGAGATTAATTTATTGGGTACACAACCTCAAGGTACCCACTGAACCCTAGGAACTAAGATTTTTTAATGTGGAGAAAACTTTTTCAGTAGGAACCATACCTGCGATGTCAGCTTCCCAGCAATCTGCATTCGCTCAATTTCTGCAGGAGATTTGATCAGCCGAAGACGCTGTACCAGCTGCTGGACAGCCCGGACCTTATTCTTGCTCCTGGCTTTGACCTCAGTCAGATGCTGCATGTAGTCAGAGTGAAGCTGTGCATGAGAGGGCCTCATCCAGTCATACCAGACCATATGTGTCTCATCTTAAAATGAGCAGCAAGAAAATAAATTTAAAATAAAACTAACAGCAATGACAAGAAATACCAACTGTTATAATGACTTGAACAAGAGTCAAAATCAGAAAACCTGTGACATGGAACCCTGAAGGTTGAGCAAAAACTCTCTCAGGACTGAAGCAACTGAAAGGTTAGATCATGTATCACTGGAAAGGCTATTCCCTGAGAACGGCAAGATATTCTGACACTGACTATCTAGCTTCTCTGCCCCTAAACTTCAGTGTTTTTTAAAAAGATGACAGATGGGACTAAAGCTTTTCTCACGTTTTGATTTCATCATTTATTAATCATTAAAGAAAAACTATAACATTTTTCCACACAAGTGAGCTAGAGGCCCCACTGAATTACTGAACATGAATGTACAGAAAAAAGTACTCGGATCATGACGTGGTTAAAAGTGTTCCCTTCCTTTGCCACCTCAGTGTTAGTGAAAGAACGTTATCGAAATTATTCACGGCTATAGAAACATTATAGTTGATGATATGTGCTAGCCCACACTAACCCAGGAAACCTTTCCTTTCTCATCTGCCATGTACTCTCATTACAGAGCCACAGCTCTCCTTTTAACTTTAGAGACCCAAGGAAATGGTCTGTATGTGCCCGAGATACACAATGAGAAGGCTCATGATGAAAATGTTCCCACTTAAACCAGGTCTCCATTTCTATTTTCCTGACACGGCTGATGAGCAGCATTCCCAACAACTGAAGTCTGAAGGGCTGTATGTTTTATACAAGTATTTGGGAAAGAAGAGGTGGAAATCCTAAAAATTTTGATTGGCTCTAAATTATTAGTGATACAATCTCCTAAATATTTTCATTTTGAAATAAAAATGGTTTTCAATACGTATTACCTGTCAACTACTAATCTTATTTTTAATAGAAATTTAGTCATAGTTTTTAAAAGTAAAACTGTTTTCAGTGTATGAAACCATAGTTCAATTTTTTTGGGTTTTTAAATTTCTACATAAGTATGATTTCTTGAATTTTTTCCTTTGCCTACTGCTTTTGTCTAGTAAACTACTAACATTAAGAATGGTGAATGAGAAATACTTTTGAGAAATACATTTGGTGTAAGGTTTTAACAATATTGGGTTAATGAAATTTAGACTACTGAATAGGACAGCTAGCAAACAACTCAGAAAATCAAAAAGCTAAAAAAGAAAATGATTCTGTGTCCCACATTTATGACAACTTTGAAGATCTGTGAAAGTTCCACTAGTTCAGCTGAGTAATTAGCTCTGTAAAATAGAGAATGCTTGTATAAAACATTGAAACAATTCAAACATATTGGCACTTGCATATTCAAATGAGTATTTTCTTTCAAAGAAATCTTTGCAGGAAATAAGTCCATAAATTCCAGGATCATTGGAAACAATTCTGGAATTCTCTTTTAGAAGCTGACTTCAGAGGGGCGCCTGGGTGGCTTAGTCGGTTGAGCGTCCGACTTTCGCTTAGGTCATGATCTCACGGTTCGTGGGTTCGAGCCCCACGTCGGGCTCTGTGCTGACTGCCTGCTTTGTGCCTGGAGCCTGTTTCAGTCTTTGACTCCCTCTCTCTCTGACCCTCCCCTGCTCACGCTGTCTCTCTCTCTCTCCTAGAAATAAATAAAACATTAAAAAAAAAAAAAAAGAAGCTGACTTCAGAAATGGTTTATAAACCACAGAAGAAAATTAGACTATAATTTTACAACCATACATTATTTTGTCTAAAACCAGTACTTTCCAATTTGCTCATCAATCTTATTTACCAATTTGGCTCTAAGTGACTTTTGGGCACTTCAAAAAATAAAATGCTGTAGATTTACAAGAATCACTAAAGATATATTATAATGTAGTGTAGATTCTAAAAAGTTCCAGAAAAAGAATCTCAAAACATTATGAGTAATTGTAATTTACCAGAAGAAATGTAGAAAAAGTGACTATTTTGAGTGGCATGAACTCAACTGTGTACATGATTCCCCTGAGAAGCTTGTTAAAAACAGGCAGATTCTGATCTAGTAGGTATGGAGTGGGGGGCCTCAAATTTTACATTTCCACTATCTATTAGGCATTTGTAATTCTAATATGTATCACCAGCTAATTGTGATGCCAGTGAAGCACTGATCACTCTTTGAGAATACTGCTTCTTTCTGAAGAGATGGCAGAAGTAGTATCTAGTGGTCAAAGGTTGATGGATGGGTCAGTGATCTTGAAGAGTGACCCATGCCCATCCTCCACTTTAAAAGAAAATTCTCGGGGCGCCTGGGTGGCTCAGTCAGTTAAGCGTCAAACTTTGGCACAGGTCATGATCTTACGGTTCGTGGGTTCGAGTCCAGCATCGGGCTCTGTGCTGACAGCCAGCTCAGAGCCTGGAGCCTGTTTCGGATTCTGTGTCTCCCTCTCTCTCGGACCCTCCCCTGCTCATGCTGTCTCTATCTCTCTCTCAAAAAAATAAAGCATTTAAAAAATAAAAAATAAAAAAAAATAAAAGACAATTCTCAGGGTGCCTGGGTGGTTCAGTTGGTTAATTGTCTGACTTCAGCTCAGGTCATGATCTCATGTTTCATGAGTTCAAGCCCAATGTCGGGCTCTGTGCTGACAGCTTAGAGCCTGGAGCTTGCTTTGGATTCTGTGTCTCCCTCTCTCTGACTCTGCCCTGCATGCTCTCTCTCTCTAAAATAAATAAACCTTAAAAAAAATTTAAAAGAAAATTCTCTCTCTGGGATTTCGAACTAGGGCAGTCAACAGTCTCTGTGAATGAATAATTTAACAAAGACTTAGTAAATGCATAAATGAAATCTTTAAAGGAGTCTTATGGAAAAGATTTATGTTCCTTTCATGGTGCTCAAGGAAACACTGCTATGATAATCCTTTTTGAAAATTAAGAACTTTAGGGACGCCTGGGTGGCTCAGTCGGTTAAGTGTCTGGCTCTTGATCTCAGCTCCGGTCATGATCTCACAGTTCCTGAGACTGAGCCCCTTGTCAGGCTCTGTACTGACAGCACAGAACCTGTTTGGGATTTTCTCTCTCCCTCTCTCTGCCCCTCCTCTGCTTGTGCACTCACTCTCTCAAAATAAATAAATAAACTTAAAAAAAAAAAAAAAAGGAAAAGAAAAAATTAAGAACTTAGTCTAAATAGGCAAGGAAGGTCTTAATCCCAAATCTAGCCTGTGATTTGACCTCTGTTTCATTTATTACCTTTCAATTTTGGTACTAGATGTTGAAATTCTTCTAGTGTATAGGCTTCATCCACTCCTGTTAAAGCTATTGCTCCATCTGTGCCAGATCGTGGGCCATCCCAAAGTTCTCGACTAGGGTCTCTCCGAGGCACAAAAAGCATGGCCTTATGTGCTGGTAACTGCTTGCCAGGGAGGCTCTGAAGGACAAGAATGCTATCGGGCTCCTGGAATCCACACAGGTACAGGAAATTGTTGTCTTGGTGGAAGGTATACGGGATATCATTGCTCATGTAGTATGTAGGGTTGGACAGCAGAACCACTGTCTGGTCTGTCCCACTCTGCCCTTGTGTTTCCTTTTGAATCAGAGACATTAATTTGTGTCTGCGAAGTGCATATTCCACTTGAGATAGTCCTGGCGTCACCTCTCCTAGAAATGACAAATAACAGTGATACTTTGCATTATACAGGGCCAAATTACTTTTAAGGTAACAATATTAGATGGAGACACACAAGTTCATTTCTTCACTTTATGCCAAAACTACTCATAGCACATGGGGAATTATGGACATAACACAGGTTCAAATTTCTTATTCCACTCTAAACATTTTGGAAATGATAGTTAAACCTGGTCCTGCCTGAAAATTAGGATTGTGACTCATTAATATCTCTTGTAGCTCTTTCTTTTACTCATTCGATCAAATATTTGAACATTATCATGTGGAAGGCATTGTTAATCATATAATAAAGTTGACTTGAAGTGCCAACAAGAAAGGCAAGTAGAAGGATCACATTACCCATGCAGGATTTTCCTGAAAGAATGTAAGCTCAGTGAGGACATAGATTTTTGTCTGTTTGTTCAGTGTTATATTCCTGGAGCCTAGAATAACAACTGGAATATAGTGGGCACTTGATAAATTATTTGTTACGTGATGTGTAATTATAACCTCCTTAAGGAACTCTTAAGGAGTTCCTGAGGTAAAATCTTTGTATTTTCCAACTGGGGTCATCTTTGTATTTTCCAAAAACTCTAAGGATTGAAGACTCTCTAGCGAATCTTTTAAAAGCTATGGATTCAATGCTTACTACACACACAAACTTCTGACATACAATTTCAAGAGTATCTGATTGCCTTAAGCCCTCCCACGAAACTTGTATTAAGAACCTGTGTTGTGAAGTGTTATGTGTGAGTTGTCAATATTAGCACCCAGCAGACTGCCTGGCCCCTCGTTCAGTGGTGACTGGGTGAACAGTTCCCTTCTGAAATGGAAATCATGCCTGCTCTTGCTTTAGGTTCCAAAGTACACATAACTCAGTTGTTCATGATTGCCTTGGAACCATCTAGTTGTTTTATCTATGTATAGTTTATTTCTCCAGCCAACTCTGTTGTTTGCATTCCATTAATATCAATTTTTACTTAACTCTTTTTTTTTTAATTCTTAAATGTTTTATTTATTTCTGAGAGAGAGACAGCGTGAGCAGGGGAGGGTCAGAGAGAGAGAGGGAGATACAGAATCTGAAGCAGGCTCTGAGCTAGCTGTCAGCACAGAGCCCGATGCAGGAGTCGAACCCACGAACCGTGAGATCATGACCTGAGCCAAAGTCGGACGCTTAACCAACTGAGCCACCCAGGCTCCCCTCTTAACTCTTATTCATCTATAACAGAAAAAAATTGTACACTTTTATTGATGAAGTTGGTAAGAAATAAAAGATAACTAACAGAGTCAGTCTTAGAAGAGCTCACATTGCATTTCTTTTTCCTTTTTTCTTTTTTTTAAAGTTTATTTATTTTGAGAGAGGGAGAAAGGGAGAGAATTTCAAGCAAATAGCACAGAGCCCAACACAGGGCTTGAACTCATGAACTGTGAGATTGTGACTTGAGCCAAAATCAAGAGTCCGATGCTTACCCAACTAAGCCACCCAAGGGCCCTCATATCGCATTTCTTTTTTCCCTGGATTGGGCTGGCTAAGAGTTCTCTAGGGCTTTGGGGCAGAATGCTGAACTTTGTGCCAGAACTATTTACCTGATAATTACATATGTTAAGTCTGTCACTGTTACCCAACATTGGAAATTTCCCAATTTACCCAAGTAGTAGACACTCTTTTATAAAAGCAGAGGCTGGTTATAATTGGTAAATCATCCACCCTTTCCTTTTGGTTTGCTTTGCTTTTGGTTTCTTCACAGTTACAGTCCATGAAATAAAACTAAATTAAAAATCAATTCATTTTGCGGGATTTTTTTAAATTTGGAAAATAAGAAGAAAGTTCACAATTTTAATGACCTTAATCTATATGTTCTCTCTCATTCTCATTAATAACAAAGTGCATATAGAAATATATTGGAAAAGAACTTCTGAAAAAAGATACAATTATTTGGAAATCTGTTAGGATTTGAAAACTACCTTTTACTCCCTTCAAGGCATTCATCTCCTTCCTGAATCCAATTTCATACAAATGACTAAATGAGAAACACTTAAAATACTGGCAACATTTTCCTAAGTTTATGAATCATCAACATTTTCCTAAGTTTATGAATCACTATGGAGTGACCATTAACTAAATGCTTCCACACTTCTGAAATCTCAAAGTAACAAAGAACTCTTTGGTCATGACAAAAAATAGGCAAGGAAAAAAAAGCCCATCTTTTCTTATCATTTGAAAGAGGACTAAAGGGGGGGGGGGGGTGAGGTGATAAAGCAATGAACTTTAACCCTAGAGGTAAACCTGGCAGTTATTATGGCCTTTGATCATACAATTAACCATTATAATGGTCAATCTGGCCTGAATTTCATCTGATAAAACTATCTGAATAGACACTCTGGTAACTTTGTCAAATTGTAACATAGTAAGAACAAAGTTAGTATTTTATCACTTTGAGTCAATTAGGGATAGAGGGGCTATTCTAACAAGTTTATTTACCAGTCAAATGCCTACATGTCATAATCTTGACTCTACAAATAGCAAAGTTTCCCTATCAGTTTAGAGACTCTGCAGCCAAGAGGAAAAGCTCTTCCAGGACATTCAGGATTGGACTTCTCACAAGAATAAGAAAAATGTTCTTCATATTTAATCAGCCAAGCAGAAAACCCCTAAGAGGAAAGTTTTACAAAGACTGAAAATGGATGGAAACATGCAGGTCTCTGCAATAATCTAGGTATGTATTTTAATTATTTCTTGAAAGTAACTAGATTAGAATTTAAAAAAAATTTTTTTAATGTTTTATTTATTTCTAGGAGAGAGAGAGAGAGACAGCGTGAGCAGGGGAGGGTCAGAGAGAGAGGGAGACACAGAATCTGAAGCAGGCTCCAGGCTCTGAGCTGGCAGTCAGCACAGAGCCCGNGCAGGCTCCAGGCTCTGAGCTGGCAGTCAGCACAGAGCCCGACGCGGGGCTCGAACCCACGAACTGCGAGATCATGACCTAAGCGAAAGTCAGACGCTTAACTGACTAAGCCACCCAGGCGCCCCTAGATTAGAATTTTAACATGGTCTGATTTTGAAACAGCGTCCTTAAAATTAATTGTTTAATATTAGGTAGTTTTTATTGTCTACAAGAAAGTAGTTCATAAAATGATCTATTACTATGCAGAATAGGGGCAAAAAAAAAGTTGCTATTTCCTTTATAAAGTAAAACATAGACCTCTCTGAAAAATGAAATGACCAAATAAATAAAAAATAGTTTAAATAGATTTTATTTGCATATATTGAGCAACACAAGCCAGACAGAAAAAAAGGTGCATACTATATGATTCCAAGAACAGGCAAAACAATCCATGTTGATAGAAACTAGAGCAATGCTTAAGGATGGAAGTGGAGACAGACAAGAGGGGTATGAGAAAGCTTTCCTGGGTGATGAAAATGTTCTGTACCTTGTCTGGGGTGTGTGGGTTATATTGGGGTCTACTGATATGAAATGTTGAGGTCCAGGGGTGACTTGTCAAGAAAGAATTCTTGAGATGTTTTCAGTGCAAAAAGGTGATTTTATTAAAGCATGGGGACAGAACCCATGGGCAGAAGGGGCTGCACTGGGGTTGTGATGGGTGACTGAGTATATATATGCTTTCAAGCTGAGAGGGGGTTAGGGATAGTGTAAGTCTCTAAGGAATTTTGAAGCAAGATTTCCAAGACCTTGAGGGGCTAGCTATTAGGAAAAGATCATTTATTACTGTTTAGTAAAACCTGAGACATGAGATCCTTCAGAGGGTTAACAGTGGGCCATAGGCTTAAAGGAGGATTGCTAATACACATCTTGCAGGGTGAGGTGGGGGTGGGGAGTGGGTGGTGGCGTAGAGATAAAGGAAGTTTCCAAAGGGATTTTTACAGGACCTTGGGGGTTGGGCTAATGTCAAGCTACGGTTGCCTCTAGCAAAGATTGAACACTGAGGCAGCTAAGCTTCTCAAGGAAGGTCATTCTGCCTTGTCTCATGTACTTGCCAGTGGGCTGTAAATTGTAAGGAAGTTTAATTTTTTCTTTTGCCTTTGTTCTCCACATCATCTACCTTTGTCAAAACTCACTGAATTGTGGGGTGTCTGGATGGCTCAGTCTGTTATGCATCCGACCTCGGCTCAGGTCATGATCTTGCGGTCTGTGGGTTCGAGCCTTGAGTCGGACTCTGTGGTGACATCTCAGAGCCTGGAGCCTGCCACGGATTCTGTGTCTCCCTTTCTCTCTGCCCCTCCCCCACTTGCACTCTGCCTCTTTTTCTCTGTCTCAAAAATAAACAACACTAAATTAAAAAAAAAACACTGAATTGCATATCTAAGATCTGTGCAATTCATTATATGTAAATTTCACCACATTTTAAAAAGTATACCACTCTCTAAACTTGAAATAACTTTTAGGTATTTTAGGTATTTACCTTTTAGGCTAAGACTTCCCTCTGTTGAATTTATTCTTATTAAAAATATCATGACAAAAACAGACTTTTTGGACATTCCAGATAGTATTCTTTGGCACAAGTGTCTTGTGCTATTTTGTGATTAAGTGTGGGATCAATAGACAGACTCTGGTGAACTGGAATCCTGGTTTAACAACTTACTAAGTGACTTGGAGAGAGCACCAAACTGCTTTATGACTCAGTTTTCTCATTTGTCAAATGAGATAATAAGAGCAACTACTTCTCAAAGCTGTCAGGAGGATTAAATGATAGAATACTCAGAACAGTAAGCACTATATAAATATTAGTTACAATTATTACTATTATAAAGAATTTACACTTAAAGATGTTGTCATTCTGATAATCCAAAGCCAAGCAGGACTTTGGAAGAGTAAAATTTACATGGACAACTACTATCTCTATCAAATTAATTTCTAGATAGAAACCCTGAAAGTCTTTGGCTTTTTCACACAATTAAGAATGAGTCTCTGAGAGCCTGGGTAGCTCAGTTGGTTGAGTGCCTGACTCCTGATCTTGGCTTAGGTCATGATCTCAT